TATTATTATATATTAGATATTATTATATATTAGATATTATTACATATTAGATATATTAGGTAAAATATCCCTTAGAGATAATATCTGATGACTTGTCGGCACATAGCTAGCAAAAGCTTGGCCATATTTTAACAATTGTTTGCTCTATTGTGGCAATGAGAGAATTAGAGAATTGTCTATCTAAATATGATCCTACCTAATCCTAGAAAAAAAAATGTGCTCATATATCAATATTCTGGCGTATTATACATAATTTCATTAACTTCTCACAACTTCTCACGACTATCACACCAAAATTTTCATAATGAAAGTAAGTAAAATGTTTCCTAGTATTCATTTGCCATAAAGTGTTTGCACCATAAACGCACTTATCTTTTGCCGAACCCAATATATACTGGTACAGTTTTGACCTATATTCTATTTGTTATAAAAAATAGTACTTCGATATACTGATATTTTTATTAATACTTAAACAAACTAATAAATAAAAATTTCTTTTTATCAAACAAACATTATAGAATAATAAAACCATTTTTTTAAACAAATATCGCACATATGGCGTATAATTGTTTTAATAAATCTCAAACATTTTAATAAAATTTAATTTTTGAGATAAATTCTAGTTTTTTTCATAATTTTAGTCGGCAATTATTTTTATTACACAACTAATAAAAAATATCTTAAGCCAGTGGTTTCTTATGATCCTCATCAAATTTTAAGTGCACATGAACTAGAGATCATTACTTTTTATACTCTTCATCTTATGGAGCCATAAAGGTATTTAATTAAAAGTAAAATAATTATAAAAAATAATTATAAATCTAACAAATTTTTCAATATTTTAAAAATGATAAGTGTGATAACATGATACACTCTAATAAGAGTATAATATATTATCTAAAGAAAAACTTTCCTATTAGGTTTTTTATTTCGAATAACACATTTCTGTTTAGAATAAATAATCATTAAAATAGATAATTATTAAATTGATCATAATTGGGTTTCATGTAGCATTACTTTATCCATTTCTATATAGGTGTATCACAGTTTTCTGATTATTCCAATTATATTATTAAGTCTCCTATATACGGTTATCATGCAAGTATTATATTTTACATAAATGTCCCCTAAAAACTTATTAAAATTAACTTTAACTTAAATTAACTTGACAACTCAATGACATTTAAATTCTTCTTCTTTATCAAATCACTTTACCACCATGTAGCATGGTATCGGTCTTCCACAATTGTTTTTAATCATTCTGCGCCATTCCTTTCATTTCGTTCATCGGTTTTTCGTTTCTCACTATCTTTGAGACAGTCTCTTTTGTCCTTTCATACTAATTTAGAGCACCCAATATATTTTCCTCCTTCAGGTTATCTAAAGGTATGTGTTTGAGTGCGTTCGAGATCGATATATTTGACACATGACCGAACCAACAGTTGACAATATTATAATATAGGATCGCTTTTCAAGCAATTCATTTCTACGGCAGTAACTATCTAAACCACTTTGTCATTTGTGAGTATAATGAAAAGTTTGTGTATTTCGGATTTCTGTATCTTATATTCCAGAAACTTCAATACTTAAATGTTGGCATGCTGTCCTTTGTTTTTGTGACTCAGATAAGTATTTCATGATGTAAGTGTGTACTCCCATATAGATGCAAAATAGTACCCAGCTATTTGTGTCCTTGTATCTTTATTCTTATTTGCCCACTTAGAATTAAATATTAATACGTTAGAACTGCTGTTTAGTTCTTGTCATATGCATATTATCTTTTTTTGGAACTTATCGTCGTTCTCTTTTCCTTAAATCCAACTTACGACTGGCTTACAATATTTTAATGCTTTTCTTCTGTATTCAACTACATCATCTGCGTATATAAGATAAGCCAAACATGGGTTTTTTATTGAGAGCTTCAAGCTATTTGCTTTTCATAGAGTGTGTTTCATCAATTCTTTTCGACTCTAGAATCGTAAAATACAAATCGTTTATTCCTTTGCTATGTATCTGCACTACAATGTTTTCCTCCCCATCACATGACGATTTGTTTCTCCACATAGATATGTTAGAATAAATTTTTAATTATGGTCAAGATATGCTCTCTTCACATTTATATTCAATGCAATATCGTCCCACCTTGAACTTCACGCTCTTATTTTTTCTTATAGCGGTTCATTGTCTATTACAATTTTATTTTGTTTGTTACTTTCTTCAGCAGATTATATTGGGTTTTCAAATATTACCTTGGTTTTATTATATTACATTAATATAATTTATCTAAAATATTTTTTACTTTTACTTTTACTTTGGTTTAAACTAATTATTTTCCAGAAAGTCTAATTGTGTTGTTGAAATGATCTCTCTTCTGAATGCTAAATTCGATCTACGATTCCCTTTTTGAGACCCGAACTATTCTCTTTACTTTTTTTTCCACGCCTTCTTTTCTTTAATGACCTGCACAAATTTTTCCATTTTTATCTAGTTAATCTTTACTACAACCAATCTTTCTAGAGGTTTTATCTATATTGTTACAAATTACTCTCAAATATTTTCAATTTTTACGTCTACAGGGAGGGCTATCAACAGACCCTAATTCATATAGATTAACATACTCACACTCTTGCTTATACAATTCGTTGTTTTTATATGTATTCGGAACAAATAATAAATTTTAGTGCTAATTTAGAGCATTAAGAAATTGCTTAAATAAAAACTGTTGGACAAAATTGATTTATATTATGTTGTATATATATTTTTATTGTGTAAAATCTATTCGAGATAAGCATCGCTGCTGATGTGGTACTCAAATTGGAATAGTGGACAGGAAGATCGTAATAATAAAGTATGAACTATAGATTTATTTGGTAGAAAAACTGAAAGCAAAGCTTGACTAGTCTTTATTATTTGTTATATACTTATATTTTGCATTTATATTTTATTTATTTTTTATGATATTTTAAATTTCAACACATTTATATGTATTAATGATCAGTGATCAATTTAGCCATCCCATACTGGGATCTCTAAATAACTACGACATCATGCATGATTATTGACATGATTGAAAGCATCACATTTTTCCCAGTGGTTCTGACCACAGCCATCCAGCTATTTGAATGTTTGTTGCTTATTAATGAATATATTGAAATTTAATAATAAAAATATTTATCTAAAAACTATTCTATAACCCTAGTAACCTACTTTGTAGAAAATATGAATAGCTTCAAACCGAACATTATCTCGTAAGATATGTAAACTGATTTATGCCTTGAACTCTGATTTACAATTTTCGCAATTCGAGATAATATTAATTACATAATTGTATCTAATATAACTATATAACATAATAATCACATTGTTATATATTTTTATATTTACATTTTATTATTATTATATTATATGCTATTTTTTTTTTTTGGTTAATGATGAAAAAATTACTCGTATATTAATAGCTTTATAGCCAAAAAAAGATATAATAAAAAAGATAACATAAATGATGGAATTAAACACTCAAATGCAATTCCCGAAGGTATAAAACCGTACAACATAGAGTTCTTGAACTCAGTACGCAGTAGAACCGATTCATTTGGATATCTGAAAAAATGGGTTTTCAATTATTTAAGTTATTAGCATTTTTAGTATTACTATGTGCAGCATTTGCTGGATATGTCAATAGTAAGAATCGAGTATCTAAAAAAACTCTATTTTCATTAAATCAACATAAAGTATAAACATATCTCTTTGTAGTCGCAGATGTAGACGTTGATTTTCATCCCGTAGAAAGACTAGTGAGAGGAAAACTGCAAATGGCACGTGGGGATATGGCCTTAAACAAATACACACCTGAAGAAGACAAAGATCCTAACTTTTGGATTAATATAGCACAAAATGAAATGGCAGAACGACTCAAAGCACCAAATTTGAATAAAGCTAAAAATATTATAATGTTTCTTGGTGATGGCATGTCCTTAACAACAGTCACTGCAGCGAGAATACTCAAAGGCCAGAGAAAAGGCAATACAGGCGAAGAAGATATATTAAGTTTTGAAAAATTTCCCCATGCCGGATTAAGTAGGGTAAGTAGCGCCAACTAAAAGCAATAAAGACTTTATCAATTATTTTTTTAAATCACTGGTGAATTACATTTACAGACTTATTGTACTAATGCACAAGTACCAGATTCTGCCTGTACCGCCACAGCTTATCTATGTGGTGTGAAAACGAATATTGTTAATATTGGTGTTAGCGCTAATGTCGACCATAATAATTGTGAGGCCAGCATGGACCCGCTCAATCATGTTAGTTCAATAGCAGATTGGGCACAAGCTGCTGGTAAATCAACCGGTTTTGTGACCACTACCACACTAACACATGCCAGTCCTGCCGGCTCTTATGCACACGTAGCAAATCGTTTTTGGGAGTGTGATACTGACATACGAACTAAAGCTCCAGACGTTGATGTCACAAGATGTATGGATATAGCTCACCAATTGGTAACACAGTCACCTGGTAAAAATTTCCAAGTTGTGATGGGCGGTGGTATGGGTAAATTTTTACCAAATACATTGCAAGACTTACATGGAAAAATGGGTGAACGTCAAGATGGAAAAAATTTGCTTTCTACTTGGCAAGCAATGAATGCAAAGGGAGCGATTGTTAGCAATCGTGATCAACTGCTTAATATCGATGTATCGGCAGTTGATAAAGTAATGGGTATTTTTGAATCTGGTGTGATGAAGTTCCATTCAGAAGCGGATCCCGTAAAACAACCAACTTTGGCTGAAATGACAGAAGTCGCTCTGAAATTGCTGAGTAAAAATGAGAATGGTTATTTCGTTTTTATTGAAGGTGGTCTTATTGATTATGGTAATCACTTTAATAAGCCTGGCATTAGTTTAGATGAAACACTTGAGTTTGAAAAAGCCATACAACTCGCACGTGATATGACTAATCCAGATGATACTTTAATCGTTGTGACTGCAGATCATGGGCATCCTTTAAGTATTTCCGGCTATCCTGGTCGTGGTAATCCAATCTTAGGACTTAATGAATATGATGAGGACGCTAATGGTGTAAGGTACTCAACGCTTAATTATGCTATAGGTACCAACCAATATTTAGATGAAGCTGGAAATCGTATTGATTTGACTGGCAGATTTGGTCCATCTGGTGAGTTGTTTTCTTTTTAAACTATTCCATTTTTATATAATAATTTTCTCTTCAACAGATTTTATTTTTCCAAGCTATATAAAAAGTAGCATTGGTAATCATGCTGGCGATGATGTCGGTGTATGGGCTAGTGGACCATACTCACATTTATTTACAGGTACAATGCAACAGAATACAATTCCACATCAAATGGCGTATAGTGCCTGCATAGGCAATGGACCAACTATGTGTGATGAATCGAATGAAAATTCTCTAGAAAACTCTATAGATAATGGTGAGAAATAAAGGCCGTGTTGAGAAATTGTAAGGGGAAGCAAGTATTTTCGTCTGATATTCTTAAGATTACATTAACTATCAACATGAGTTTATGTATTGAATATAATTTTAATATAAATTGATTTAAACAAGCATTTCACATTTTCTTGTAAATTAAAATATTTTTATATCGATTCCTAAAGATATGAATATCACAGTATATTTGATGATTTTTAAATAACTTCTATCTGCAAGTACAAAAAAGGATTATCTATAAAATTATCTAAAAAGTTTCAATTTTCACAATAAGAATACAACTGATATATCAATGTGTCTTCAAAATAATAGTATTTATGGCATTTGTTATGGAGGTATGGTATGCTGTTAGTAATCACTGCAAAGTCCAGAGATTTTGAACGTTATTACCTGCTGTAAAAGCTTAAGAGTACCGTGGTGTGCTCTTAACACACACTTTGATATAATGCGCCAATATACGCTCCATTAAAATTCCAAAAAACTCTACCGGTACCAATACAAGCTATGCGTTTGGCTATAATTTCCTTCTTTGGAGTAAATGAGACCTATCTAACACCTCTGCTGTTCTTTGGGGAACAACACCCAATTTGAAAATGCCACTTCACATCGAATGAAAGTAAATGAATACCACAATCACTACAATATGTCCATTGTGTTACCAAATGTACAACTCTTGTCAGGTGCTGCAAGTGAAGGTCACTCACTTCATTTATACTCTAAACAGTATCGGATGATGCTTGATGGATCTTAATCGTCTCTTATTGGAAAAACCAGAAACTTAATATGTGATGTAATTCAATGGAGTAGGAACAAATTTGTAACCCAATACCCTAAGTGCTATGCTTTTATTGTGAAATATTTTTTCAACCACTCTTTTAGGAGGATAGAATGACCCATAATCTTCCTTTTACTGTTCTCATGGCTATTATAATTTTTTTACTATTTATTTAACTGAGTTTAAAAACCGATACGATATTTTTAAATTAACATCCAATGCATTTCACACATATAAAATCACATTTCAAACTTTACACATATATTTTTATACTTCTGTCTGTATTACATTATTAGAATATCTCATTATTCAAATCTGTTTATAATGCTTATTTAAAAAGCGATTTTTGTTCACTTAGGAGACTGAAAATATATTTATTGCTCTATAAAAAGAACAATAAAGCTTCAAGTAAAATGTGTTTAACTTAGAACACGAATTCTTATAGATGCATATATTTGCATATATTTAAACTAAGTAATCCCCACACGAACAAGCAAACTTTCTTACAAACATTTCAAATCTATTCAAAGCGTTAAATAGCATTTCTGAATGTACGAATTTCTAGGGTATTGAACGTTTAACTCAATGATATTCCTCGCTTATTATAATTTATCATTGTTAAACTATAATAAAAAAAAAAACAATAAAATATGTATTAAATAGAAATAACAAATGTCTTAAGCGAGTATTTAAAGTTAATTTAAACAGTTAATAATAAAACTACAACACTAATTGATAATACTAATTCTAAATGAAATAAAATGATAAAATGGAAACTTAATAATAAAATCTTAAGTTTGCCTTGGTAACGACTAGTAAAAGCTATACAAAAGCCTCAAGTAAAAACGCTTAAAAAATTACATCAAACAAGCGACAAATTACTACCTCAAAAAATAGATCACTAAATTAAAAACAAGTCCGAGACAATCATTACTAATCTCAATAAGTATCTGAAGCGGTGATGAGAACACTGTGTTGAAGTAAGCAACTATATAAACACCAGCAGCAATACTTCTAACAATAATCTATGAAGTAGCAACACCTCACATTACACATGTTCAATTGGCAACGAATATGTAAACAATTTTAAAGAGATGGGTGGCAACACCTTAGTTACACATTAAGAACATCTTATAACAACAAAATTCGCAGTTAAATGAAATTTCGCAGCTTACAATATCTGTAGAAGTCAACCAGCTTTAATTCCAGATTTAAAAGGTGATAACATAGTTGACAAGAATGTATATCTCTATATTATCTATAGACTATATCGTCAAGGTAGGATTTATCCACTAAATATCCTTTTCCCTTGGCTGCACAACTATTTTCTAACAATATCTATATCGCAAGGAAGACAGATGTTTCACTTTGCAGTTCGTAATATCTGGAACAGAAAAGTTGAGGAACTAGTAATTAATCTGTATTCAGATCTACCTTTAATCTATCTTCATCCTCTTACATCAAGTCTGGTTAGTGCTCGCTCAACTTGCTGACTCCACAGACTCGTTCTACCTCTATGCATTCTTCCTCCAACTACTCCAACATCAAATATCTTTTTTGCTGGAGTGGATGTTAATCCATTTAATTATATCAATGTTGTGATAAAACTCGTACAGCTTTGTATTCATTCGTAGAGGACCAAAGATCTCACGAAGAACTTCCAGTGCTGTTATATCTTTCTGTGATATTGTCCATACTTCTACTAAGCCCATAATAGCACCTATTAGCAATGGTGATATCTCGTCTGATATTCAGGCTGACATCATTGTCGCTGGGTATATCAGAATTAAACTAAAAAAATTGATTAAGTAATGATTGATTAAGTAGTGTATAAAAATCATGAATAAGTAAACTACAATTCATAACAAAATTATTTCCTAATAATCTATTAAATACTACACTTATTTAGATAAACCATAATATCTACAAAATTAATTTTAAACAATTTTTTTGAACATATTTTCTTCATTAAAATAACTAAAAAATAGTTTATATTCGGAAAAAGCAGACTAGAAACGCTGAAATAATTCACAAAATTTATTATAAATTAATTCTGCCACAAATGAGGAGAAGTACGAGTGTAAACAATGGCGAAGTGGTGAACCACACCAATTACACAAACACAAAATGAACACAAAATGAACACAAAATATACACAATGCAGGTGTTAGGCACATAAAACTCTGTGCCAAAAAAATGAAAGCGGAAAAGAGCACAATTTGTATAAAGCAAAGGAACACTCCATTAAATCAGCGTTTGCTCTTTTCTTATGAAATTCCGCATAAAATGCACCTTCTGTACGTTTTTACTAATTAGCTGCAGCACCGCTTGACCAGATGGGCGCCACGAGTGCAATGTACGAACGCTCCGGCACATTGAATTTTATGGATTTTTAATTTTTGATCGCACCTCAAACATATTTTTTCCCCAAACTAATTGCAAATTACGTTTTGTAGGTCACCTAATTGCATTTCTAGACTGGCACACACACCCACTCTGGTGCAAATTTTAGTTATGAGTTGTGAGGTGTGAGATACATTGTGAGGCAGCTTCAACAAAAAGTGGAAAAATATACAAAACCCAATATTTTTGCAAATTATAAATGGCAAATCGCAAAATGCTACACAATTGTTATTATGTTTTAGTGGAAATTAAGTTAATTAAATAAATGAAATAAAACATTTATTATGCAATTAATGTATTTATGCTTCCCTATTAAAAGTTATGATATTGCAATATTAGGACGCACAATTTAGTATACAAATGGAACAATGCATATATAGTATGAGTAATTGTTTGAATCATTATGGGAACAGCTGAATTGTATCGTTGAATATAAATATGATATAAGTAAATGTGAATATACATATAAATAATATATTAATTAATAGAAACGTATGAGTATATGAATATATGCAATTGTGATGTATAATTAACTTAAATTTAATTATACAATATTTATTTAATTGATATTTTTTTTGAATTATTTTTTGACGTATGTATCAAATATATATTTGAAAGGTACAACAATAATTTAAAATATATTAAGGTTAGGTTGAGTGAGACGATCTTGACACAACTATCAACACTATCACATGGAGATATCTGTTACTTACTGTGATCCCATTGAAATTGCCTGAATGAGGCGATTTACACTTAATGTTGTCTCAATGTATATTTCTTGTTAAACTATTTGAGCGATTAAAGCTTATATATATGGTATATATATATATTATATATATTGTGAGATGTCAGCGCAACGCACATCAAGTAGCCCCACTAAAGTGAAGAATTAGCCTAAGTAGACCACGAAACGACTTGAGGCCTGTTTCTTCCTTCTGTTCTCGGATGTCCGTTAGTGAGTTGAAGCCAAAGTGGCTTCCGTTTGCATAACTATATCTCTTATTATTGAAAATAGCTCATTTAGCTTGAAGTTGGCTACTAAATCAACACCAACTTAGTAGGACATAAGGTTTCTAGTAATCTCAGAGTTTTTACGATTAATCCACAAATTATTTGTCACAATTACAGTGATTATTTTCTGCTCCTACAGAATTTACACATCGGAATTTGTGCCAAGATGTTCACCTCACTTATATATAATTAAGAGTCTCATCTACATGATATCACGTAGATTATACCTGATCTCAGATAAATCTTGGTCAAACCACTACCTTTCGTCATAATTTTCACCCAAGCAATATTACTAGTATATTACCCAAGCAATCTAGTATCTCTACTTTTTCAATGTTAGAGTGATCGCATTTTTTTCTCCAACAACTGCCACTAGAGAAGGAATCTATTAGTTATTACAAGCCCGCTGGTAGTCGTGTGTATAAACCACGGATAATATCCCTTGTTTCTTATGGCTTATTCTATATAGACATTGTAAACGAATAGTTTCTTCTTAAATCTCTACTCATTATTTCTCCTACAGTTTAATTTGGAATGATATTTTTCTAACTTAGTACCATGAATTTGTTATCCAAACTCTTATTAGATACTTAAACTAAACTGAAAATATTTTATTTCATTGCCTATGATATTTTATTAAACGTGCTTAAGCCATTTCTTTTTAATATAAGAACAAAATAAATTTCTAGAATTGTACCAAAAATAAACTGAAATAAATGTTATTGCAATAATTGAAGCAAACTGTCATTTTTCCAAAATATGAAACTTTAATATTCCTACTTTACTTGCTAACAATAGCAATTTCCGCTTGTGACACACACCGCTACATCCGGTTTATTTTCACAAACGGAACACATATTTAGAGAATAAGCAGCCACAACAACTTTGAACTTAACCACTAAATTTAAAGTAATTTAATATGATATTT